ACCAGTTATATAGTTCATTCAGATTATTTTGAAGGAATAAGGAGTCCTCTATGGACCTAGAGCTTATTTGAAATCAGAAGTACATAGTAATAAAAGAGCTCAGATACCAGTATTTGAAACAATATTCAATGTGCATGAGCACCACTTTCACGGAATCGGCGGCGTCGAGAACGAACTTCCTTTACTCTTTGTACCTGTTTTGTACTGTAACTTCACTTGACATACACCTGTTAAAACTTTTATGACTTCAGCGGCTTAAGCCAAACCACCCTTATAAGTCAAACTGGCTATTGTATTACTTAACTCAGTTCACAGCTACATTATGCCAACAATGGACAGTAATAATCTTGCGGTTCGGTTCCACAAAGCCTACAATAGCCAGTTTGACTTATAAGGGTGGTTTGGTTTAAGCCGCTTAAGTCATAAAAGTTTTAACAGGTGTATCTCAAATGGAGTTAGTATATGTTCTGTTGCTAACGCGTGCAACATGCAAAACCCAATAACAACACTAATGGTCAGCCAGTGATTCGTCCATACTTTTCGCACTTCGCGCATTCACCCCTCCCACTCGATGTACTTTCATAATCGTCTACAATAATTAATTTAATCACAGACTACCAGACAAGACACATACCCACTTTGAGCGAACGTGACCCTTATTGACGACTTACCTCAACCGTCACTTCATACGCGCGATTTTTAAACGCGAGGACTGCCACTTTACAACACAATCTCGGATAAAAGCCAACATAATGTTAAAAAAATACATCAACAGAACTCATATTAATTGTGCTTAACTTACTAAAATAATAAAGGCGTTCGTACGTACGTTCATAGTAAAAAAAAAACATGAACAAGCTAAAAAATTTATGAGTGCTATTAATTAAATTTATACATTTTTTAAAAGTGAGGGTATGATTATATTGTATTGTATTGTGTCTGTCGCCGCAGGACTCACAGGAGTGCGTTGCACTTACACGTCTTGGTCGGACCCATTTTGAGATTATATGTGGTTATGTTGTCAACCCAAAGCAAGGAGGTTTAAATGTATATATGTACTTATATTCAATATCTCTGACCCGAAGTGTCAAAATTCTAGTTTTTCTAGTTACATTATCCTAAAAGTTTCCACTAACCAGGGTAGCCACTACAGTATTTTGCAAATTTTTAAGCGGAATCAAGGTCATTCTTACCTAAACCGTCATTTTCCTGTGTTTAAGGGCAAAATAATTGAAATCGACTGTTTGGACTCTTGAATTAAAGACTATATTCGTTTGTCAGTGGTGGGGCAGTGGCTTGTCTGTGTAGTCTGTGATTTAATTACGTCTGGTAGATCGTCGATGAACAGTAAGAAGAATAGCGGGCCCAAATTGGAATTTTGGGGTACACCGGCGTTAGGGGTACAAGTTTTAGAACAAAAGTTTCTATATTTGACATAGTGTATTCTATTTCTAAGATAGGAGTTTTATAGTAGAATCAACGACTCTGAAAAGCTGATTAATCTTAATTTATTCAACTGTACAAAATGATAGATTGTATCGAATGCCTTGCAAAAGTCGCTAACTATTACACGGCCTGAATTTTGTCATTAAAAGGGTCAGAAATATATTGTAAGAAGCAAGCAACATTTGTAATAGTGGAACGCTTCTCTACAAATCCATGTTGGTAAGGGCTTACTACGTGTTTGATAATAGAATATTGTGTCTATATATAATAGATTCAAAAGTTTTCACGAAGTTGCAGAGTAAAACAATCGGTCGATATTAATCGATTTTAGTTGGATCATTTTTTTTAAGCTGATGTAGGAGAAGCTTTTTTCCACGGAATAGGAAAATTCGAGGTTTTTATTATGAGATTATTTATAAAATGTAAAGGTTCTACAAAAACTCTGGCGCAATTTCTCAATAAGAAGTTTGGTATTCCGTCTGATATTACATTATCAGCATCACGTTTTCAAGTACCATAATATAAACCTCACTGTTTAATCTTTCCTGAACATGCAGAATTACCCCAGGGCTGTTCACTGAAATGCACACTCACATATTAACAGAAAAACATCCGATACGTTCGGATAAGTCAACATAACTTTCATTGTACCTCGTGTTTATTGGTTTATAGACCCTGAGACGACCGTTGGGGCATGACTGAAAAGCTTTCTCGTCAGAGAATACCACTCAGGTGCAAATGGCATTATTTTTACCTATATGTTCTAACGCGAAACCAATTCTTGCTTCCTTGTGATAAGGTCTAAGAATAGTTTTCCTGGCTACGGCACAATTTTCCAAGCCACTTTCCTGTATCCTTCTTCGAACAGTTCTGGCAGAACCAGGAAAATTTGTAACGGCAGTGGCTTGAACAGCGGTCGAAAAAGAACTGTTTTGAATTATACAGGGCATTACACGAATGAGTACGAGCCTGCAAGAATTAAAAATGCAACCCAAAATACAAATTCAAAGCTTATTTGGATGCCTTTTTTAAATTTCAAATAGCGCTAAACATAGTTATCCGGGCGTTAGAAATTCGTTACTGTTTGTCAGCATTTGAAATGTATTCAGATATCGATAAAACGGATCTATCATTTATGGGGAATGTAAAAAGAACGCTTCTTTGGCACCTAGAATGTACGTGGAACCTTATCTGCAGAGAAAAGCATCTACCAACAAAATCTTTAAAAAGCTGGAAATGTCGTTACGGAAGAGTTGATCACCAATTGAAAAACTAAGACGGAGAACAGCTACCGGTCCCTAAAATGAGTTTGCTGTCTTAGGAATGGTGGAAAATGACCCTCACGTGATTTAAAAAGCAGTGGCAGCCCCAGTGTGTGTTAGTGTAGCCTCTGTCAACAGGATTTTGAAAGCCAACAAATTTCATCCCTACCTGACCTGACCTGACCTAGTGCAAGAATTAAAGCCCGCAGATTATGGACAACGATCAGCTCTTTGCAATTTCTTGATGTTAATAAAAATCTTTTTGAAATTTCAAATTAGTTGACATTTTTTGTCAAAAGTTAACAAAAGTCAAAATTGCCCACTGTCTGTTTTTGAAAAAAGAATTGATAAAACTTAAAAAAATATCCATGTAAGCTTGGACGGTGTATTGTGGGTAGCAATTCCAATTCACTCAAGCTCGTACTCATTCGTGTAATACCCTGTATTTGTGAGGGCTTCATCTTCTTCACTGGAAGATAATCGGTGCCTTCCAGATCCTGGCTGAATTGTTTGGTACAGTTTTATTCAAAAAATATTGGGCAGTTGTCATTCACTAATGTCATAACTTGTAAAATGTGCTTTATTTAGAATTTATTGACAGTAGTGTCATATCCGTCGGATATTAATAATATCAAAGGCATCGTTTGACAAAATAATTTTTTTGAACTCATGACCTTTTTTGTTGCGTCTATTAAAATATTTATGAAAGTCTCTCGTTTTGCCATGAACACTTTTTATTACTAAATCGGGGGTGGCTCTCCCTAAATTTTTCACTAAAATTTTACCGTCGTGACACAGACGACAATTTTTTATTAAACATTCAACCGAATTCATTATTTTTGTTTAAAATCAAACAATTTCACTCGCGCAGAATGAAGATTAAAACCTGCAATGAGTTACTGCTGCTGGGCACTGTCGGAACAGGACCCGATTGCAGTCCAATCCTGCGAATAGACGCACGGTTTTTGAGGCAAAGGTGTAAACAAAACGTCTAAATCAACCATGATTTGGTCTCCGTCTCCGCTTTTATCAGCACTTCATCAGCAATTTCCGGATATTTTTTTAAATATTGAAAATTACTACATATTTTGCTATGTCCAGTATGTTTGTAGACGTTGTAATTTTAAGGGGGCATGTGCCCCTGTGCCCCCTAGCACCAGCCGCCCCTGCATAATACGTTAGTTACAACATGAAAAAAGTTTTATATCATTGTCAGAAATGGCCGAATATACCAGATTTTTGCCTACTTTTCAAAAACCAAAATTTGTCTAATCATCCTCACAATGGGACATCGTCTCCAAAATTTACAATAGTAAATCTTACAAGAAATTCCTGCACTTATGGTTTATGAATTCCTGTTAAATTTTTACCCCCAGCATCCAGATCTTTGGAAAATCAAAATTGTTTAAAAACAACAATTAAACTTTGAAACTGTAAAAATTTTTTGCTTTGAAATCTTGCAACAAGAGTTTTAAAGGTCATCGTAAGTAAGTTTTAAGGTTATTGTAGGCATGGTAAACCGTTCGTTGAAATTTATCCGTTTATCCCCCTCCCCCCTCACCCCCAAATTAATGACGTCTTCTCAAAATTTTGTATATTATATGTATATCCCATCCAAAATTTCCAAAATATTTTTAATTTATACTTATCAATTGTTTCTTGTGGTCATTCTTTTTGAGGTTTGGTGTAGGTTTATGTGTACCTAACCACAATAAATACATACACAACTATTTGGCTTGATGATGGTACGCATAATTTAAGTCCCAAAACATATGAACTCCTATATAAAATATGAAAGTTCAGAAGACAAAACCAAGCTAAAGATCACTGAACGGTAATGGATTTCAACACATTAAAGTAAATATGATAAGTCAAAACCTTCTATAATGTAGCTAAACTGTTTAACCAAAATAATTTTTATTTTTTAAAGCACAAATTAATAATTTACTGCAAAAAGTAGTAGTACAAAAGTAGAACTCTAAGGCTATTTTCACCGCAAAAATCATTCCTGGATTTTCACCCTGATAAAAGTTATAAAAAGTGGGGTTTAAAATTTTACATGGAAGTCCTTATGGCCACTTTTAAAAAAAGTGTACTGTATATAATAAGTTATACACGGACGTGGTTTTAACTACAATTCAGTGAAATTAATGCCGAAAAAAACATTGTTTTTCATTCCATTACAAATTTTAGCATCATTTATTTTCGTTTTCTTTCGTCCACAACTGCCATAATTTAAATGTTCAATACTTTGACGACTGAACGTTTAATAACTGTGTATTTTTGTTTTAGGTACAATGATTCCTAAATCTGGAGGAGATTATGCATATATAAGCGAAGCTTTTGGCCCATTGCCGGCTTTTTTATATCTTTGGGTTGCTCTTTTTATTTTGGTGCCCACGGGAAATGCAATTACAGCGATAACGTTTGCTCAATATATACTTCAACCGCTTTGGGGTTTATGCACTCCACCATATGAAGCTGTGAGATTGTTAGCGGCGGCTGTTGTTTGTTTATTAACTATAATAAATTGTTACAATGTTAAATGGGTTACGCGAGTGCAGGATATCTTTACAGCAACAAAAATGTTTGCGCTGTGTATAATTGTCATTGCCGGAACGTACTTTTTATGTACTGGCCACGTAGAACATTTTAGAAATCCTATGGAAGGAACAGAATGGCAACCCGGATATATTGCGTTGGCTTTTTATTCAGGTCTGTTTTCATATTCTGGATGGAATTATCTCAATTATGTTACAGAAGAATTAAAGGATCCTTATCGGTAATATTTATGATTAATATCTGACTAATGATATGTTTTAACTCTCTTCATATTTTAGAAATCTACCTCGAGCTATTTGTATTTCAATGCCAACGGTGACGATTATTTATGTTGTAACAAATGTTGCTTATTTCGTTGTGCTCAGCAAAGATGATATACTTGCCTCTGATGCTGTCGCTGTAACATTTGGGGATAAAATGTTAGGAGCCTTTTCATTTTTGATGCCTTTTTTTGTGGCCTGTTCGACATTTGGATCATTGAATGGTGCTATCTTTGCATCATCGCGTCTATTTTTTGTTGGAGCCCGAGCAGGACATTTACCGAGAGCAATTGCTTTAATAGATATTAAAAGACTAACACCAGTGCCATCGTTAATTTTTATGGTAGGTAAAAATACCTTATATTCAACTTTGTTTGACTAATAAATATATTTTTCAGTGCATTATAACCCTTACTCTGGTTATGATTGAAGATGTGTACGTCCTGATTAATTATGTTTCATTTGTGGAAGCCTTGTTTATTACAATTAGTGTAACAGGACTATTGTATATGCGATGGACAAAGTCAAATCTAAAACGACCAATTAAAATGAACCTGATTCTTCCTATTATATTTTTATTAATTTGTAGTTTTCTCGTAATATTTCCGTGTTATGTTAGTCCAATGGAAGTCGGAGTAGGTTTAACTTTTATACTTTGTGGTATACCAGTTTATTTGGTGACTATCGCGTGGCAAAACAAACCTACTTGGTTAAATAAAGCATTTGATGAATTTAATGATAGCTGTGCTAAACTCTTTCTCTGCGTTCCTGAAGATGAACAAAAAGTTAGCTGAGTGAGTATTTGATAAGTATGATTTTACAATTATTAGTATTAATGTTAATGTATATCCAACCATAAGATAGTGATTGTTAAAATATCGAATTTTAAAAAGTTGTATTTATTTGTAGTATATAGCGCAAACTTTGTTATTAAAGTTTTTTGTAAATATTTATTTCTAGCAAAAGTATTTTTAACACGAAGATGTTTTCATATTTCAACGAATAAAGAAACTTGAATGTAGTGTATGTTACAAATTTTGTGGTATACAAAATTAAATTCTGTGTTCTACTCGAAATGAAATAATGTTACTAGGGATTTGTAGTGTATCAGATCATTTTTGTAGTTGTGTAATAAATATAAGAATTGTGACATTTTAGGCTCTGAAAAGGAAAAAATTAAAAATAAAATTAATAATTCTTATATAAAATGTATACGCAAAACGAAAATTCCTTGATCTTTTAAACTTTGAATAAAAATAATTAAATGAAACTCCTACTGGTTTATATTTAAATTAGTGAAAGATAAAAGAAATTTTCTTTAAATTCCCTCATAAATTGTGTGCAACATTAGTTGACAAGCATGATATGGTTACATCTTTTACCGCTAACTTAAATTGTTGTGTTTTTTCATACGAGTCACTTTATCAATTTTAGTTTATCATTAAAATAAAGTCATTGTGTTTAAACTTTACTCACCGTCAATTTATTTCTTGGTTTTATTGTAATTGTTTAAATTCAACGACTTACGGGATTGCTCAAATACTTGTAATACCCTATGAAGCGTGTGGATGAAGTTAAAAGGAATTGACTGGAGATTTGGTGTGTTGCTGGATTTTGTGGCTCTGATATGCCAGATATTGTTGAACCAACAATTTTTGTGGATGCTAGCTGAGATAAACCGTTGCAATCCCCCAGTTGAAGTAAGGTGTGTTTTATGGCGAGTAGCGGGGATGCCTTGATCTGGTCCACAAGGTCGTAGCCAGTGCGTCGCTAGGAGTGTTTACAGCTAGTAAAAAACTACTTCTATATTACTATATTACTTCAAATAATAATACTTGATGCCCTTTTTAATTTTTCAACCACAGGACCACAGATTTGTGATCTTGAAATGTTATATTATGTTGAAATAGTCCTAAAGAAAAATATATTTGTAATGAAACTATCGCCGCGACAGCAGTGGTTCTAGCGTATGAGATACAATTCCGCGCGTTGGTTATGACGGAGTTTTATGGGAAAATACTGTAATTTCTGCATGATGATTATTGATTTTGATATTGATATAGTTGATTGATTTAAACTATGGTTCTAATTTCTGTTAACATTTTAATCTGATTCATACTCTTTAAATTCGACTTCAACAGTCATGTCTTCTTCAATTTCTTCTTCTTCTTCCTCTTTTTCTTGCTGGATGTTCATAAATTGTTCAACTGAAGATGAATCAGTTCATTCAGTTGTCTCTTCATCGATATCACATGAATCTTCGTCTGTTGGATTCCATTGAACACTCGAACAAGAGTGACCTTGGCAATTAGTGCACGCTGGTGAACACAACAACCCTACTCTTCTACAGTCACACTTAGTACAACAATCTTTTTTGCAATTGCAAAAAAATAGTGTTTAGGAGTTTTTTCGGAGCAGGTGGGAGTGTAGTTTGAATCGGTTCCAACGTATTATCTGTTAATTTCCAACCCCAGTCTTCGGGGTTCAGTTGATAGCCTAGCCATGTCTGAACTTGATAGTATACCTACTCGATACAAGTGTTGATGAGCAGAAGCCATGTTGGAGGAAGACAAGATACTTGTTTCTTGTTTCGTTTTTTTTTAAAGTTAAATATCTATACTTGTCGCAACAACTAATTTTTTTGGAGCTCCATAAACCGTAAGGAGAAAGCGAATTCCTTTTGTGATTATTGTTTGAGGAGACGCGTCAATTTGTTCAAATACTTTAGCGCAATCAGTTAAGTCCTTTTTTCAAGTAATTTTAGTACTCATGTTTTACCCCTTCTGAACAGTACTGATGTAGTATCGCAGCCAGTTATTACGTGTAAAAATAAAATATGGTTTTGGCATTTTGGATAAAAAGATAAACTGCTTGAAGAATATATTTATGCTCGGTGTTGAGCCTTTCCAGATTTTAAAAATTAAATGATTTTATCAATCAGTAGAAGGGGCTGATTAAGGGATTGAGTTTCTTTTGAGTGTATATTCTCAGAATTTTACCATTATTTACATTGTGTTTCTGTTAAAATAAATCACACGCTGTGTAAGTTTATTTAAGTAAGTTTAGTTTAGTTATTTTGTATTATTCTTATATTTTTGTTTTTCTGTAATATATCATGGTGGTTCCCGTAAATAAACTATTATTATTATTATTACAATTGTTACTAGTTATTTATTATATTGTTCGTAGTTAATTTATACATGTAAGAGACACAAATGGCATTTTTAGTTATATTAAGAGTCTGACTATGTATTTAAGTACGTGGAATTTGTGTGCATATCATGTACTTAGAATGCAACTTCTTCAACTTTTAGAACGGCGATATCTTGGGAATGGTGACTCTTAGGAAAAAAAGTATAAGGATCATTTTTGTAGATAATTTTATGATCTACAATTTTTGTCTGAACTATATTTTTGATAAAACGTTTTCGAGAAAAATCCAAAAAACCAAAAATGTTGACCTTTGACCTTGAGTAACTTTTAGCGCATATGGGATCTATGGGGAGTTTTGCCACTTTATTTCTACTGGGGTACCCAAGGTCTCTACCAAAATTCAGCTCTGTCGGAGTTTTTGTTATTTGAAATGTCTATTTTGACCGGACTAATATACAACCAATTATGTTATTAATTTCGGAATCACTCATGTATAAACAACTTAAAGAGTACTCTTCAAATATAAATATCCTACCAATGACTCAGTCTGGTTTTCGTCAAGGCTACAGTACAGCTACAGCCCTAGTGTCTATTGTTGATGATATTTTGCGCAATATGGATAGGGGAAACGTTACTGCATTAACTTTATTAGATCTGTCTAAAGCTTTTGATTCCATCGATTAATTGCTTGTTGGAAAAATTATCTTATTACGGTGTAACTAATTCTACCTTAAAATGGTTTAATAATTATTTGCACAATAGAAAACAGGTTTGTCGCATAAACTCTGTCACAGGTCAAGACACTTCTGCCACTCGTGACATTAAAAGAGGAGTTCCACAGGGATCGATTTTAGGTCCTCTCTTGTTTTCAGTGTTTATATCCGATATTCAGTTTGTGCCTAAATACTGTACCTTGCACTTGTACGCTGATGATATTCAAATGTATTTAAGCTTTCATCCCCAAGATACAACAGCTCCGATTAAGATTAATGAAGATTTGGCAGAAATTTTTCAATGGACTGCTTGCAATTCTTTTTATTTAAACACTAAAAAATGTAAAAACATAATATTCGGTTTCTCTACTTTAACGGCAAACATTCATCTTAATTTAGTCATTAACGAACAACAAATTCCCTGTGAAAGTGTTGTTAAAAATTTAGGTGTAATCCTTGATTCATGTCTGAATTTTTCACAACATGTTTCTGCATTATGCCGTTCAAGTTATTTTAAATTAAAGCAGCTTGCTCCTCTCAGACAATCTTTAGATCAGGACACTAAACTCATTTTAGTTTGTAACGAAGCGAATTTTCGCGGGCCGGAAACCGTGGCGCGTACCGCGAGAGCCGGGGGTAAATTCGCGATCGCCGCGCCGCCGCGGCGGAAGAAGAGGACTCTTGCCTGAAACTCCAGAGAGTGCGGAAGTTTGTGGCTGCTGTTTTGCGATTTTGAGAAGTGAGAAGTCTGCAGTTGACCCTCCGACCACCGTAAGTACCTTTTTGGGTCGTCTGCCCGTCTTAGTACCGATTTTGGAATCGCCGCCCCCGAGCGAGAAACCGTGCCACCGTCACCGCGTTCTTTTTGTCACCGTCGAAAGTCGACACCGTCGTGCACGCGTCGTTACCGTCACCGCGCTCCCCTCCCGGGTCGCCGTACCGTCTTCGCGCGATTTCCAGGTTCAAGGTCGCCGCCCCCAGAGCCAAGAGGAGCCCGGCTTGAAGGAAGTCGCCGCCCAGGAGGAACGACCGTGCCGGACATTTAATTTTTTTTTGTTGTAAAACCGTTCTGTAGTTATTTAAGTTGATTAGCCGTAAGATTTATTATCTTAGAACGTGTAGCTGGTGGCAGGGAATAAACCCTATTTTTGTTATAAAATACCCTCGCCGTTTTATTTCTTATTCTCGAGTTTTCGCGGCGGCTCATCACCTGAATTCCTTGTCTCCGGTTTTAGAGCACCCCGGCGCTCCCTCCCCCGGAGAGGGAGCTGGCGCCCGAGCGACCGCCGCTCCTGACCGAAGGCGCCACCCCCGGCGGCGTGAAGGTAGCCGCATAAGCTTGGTCGACCAGACGTGTTTCTGATATCAGCGATACTAGTCGACCCAAAGCTTGGCACCCAAGTACGCCGCCACCCCATACGTTATCGGCGAGATTCCGGACCGTCACCGGACCGTCCGTCCCTCTCATCCGGAATTTCGTCGCATAATTTGGCGCCCGAGCAGGGACCTAAAGTGAGCCGCCCCCGGTCGTCCGCCGCCACCAGCTACGTTTTTGTCCGCTATCAGCGGGAGACCGTCGTTTTTGAGCGGTCTGTTTTTTTTTGGTCTCTTGGCAAAATTGCCGAAAAAGATAAGAGCCGTTATCTTACTGTTTTTTTTTTGTTTTTGTGCTGTGTTGTGGTCGCCGCCACTGTCCCCGAAGTCCCGTGACGCCATCAACCGTCACCGTCAGAATTGGTGACGTCACAGAATGGGTAAGGAGGACCAAGGCCGGCCGCACCCAGCTCCGCTCGCGACGTGGGTGCACCAGCTGCAGCGTCACGAGCTGGAAGAAGCCCTGCGCGAGATTGGGATCGACGCCACTGGTTCCGTCGACACGCTCCGCCGGCGTTTGAAGGATTTTCATCTCCGTCGCCAGACCGAAATCGACACGGAGATGAACCTGGAGGAGTTGGCCACGTCTCTCCCGACCGTCACCGACGAGGTCGTGGACACCGTCGCCGTGTCGAACCCCAACGCCTCCATACCGACGTCGACCATCGGGTACGTGGTGTCAAATTCGGCTTCAGCGACATCGCTGACCTGGAGCATTCCGCTAACCAGGCCTGCCGTGCCCACGCCCGTGATTTCGCGAACGGTGATGCCAGCGGCGTTTCCATGGGCAGCCCCCACCAGCGCTACAGGTGCCGTTCCCCGAGTCCAGTCCCCAGGTGCCCTGTCACGACCTGCCGTCCCGCTAGAACTTGCTCGTCCCACCTCTGGAGAGGCCCCCAGGAGCCGACTCGACGAGCCAAGTACGTGGACGTACAGGGAACCGCCCCGTCTTTCTCCATCGCCCTCACCGACAGCCACGAGACCAACTTCGCCGTTTCTAAGTCGAGAAGTCCAACCGGTGCCACCGAAGCGTCCGTCTCTCGTGCCACCACCGGCACCGATACAACCCCGTCGAAGTCGCCACTCGGTCCAGTCGTGCTACGCACACCCGCGGGACACCCGTTGGGAAGCCCTGGACCTAGTGCGCAAGAGCCGTGGTCACTTCGACGGAGAGACCGACCCCATGGCGTTTCTGGAGCGCGCCGAAGAACTCCAGGAACATTTTGCCATTGCACCGGACACTATGCTCACCGTGCTGCCGGAAATGTTCACCGATAAGGCGTTGGAGTGGTACCGTAACAACCGGGCCCTCTGGTACTCCTGGGACGACTTTGTCGAGGAGTTCCGGGACTTCTACATGCCGAATTATGAAGAAGTCCTGGAAGACCAGATCGTCAACCGTCGCCAACGACCTGGAGAAGCCGGCAGAGATTTTATACAGGCGATGCAGACCCTCACCCGCCGTCTGGGAGGGTATTCTCCACAGGCCGTCCTTCGTCGCCTGTACAGCCACCTGTTGCCGGAGTACCGCCAGTACATCCGCCGCAGAGATTTCCAGACCATTGGGGAGTTGGTGAGGCTCATAGATGAGTATGAGCAGCTACAGAAGGAAGTGAGCAGCCGTCCAGCAGTCTCACCACCGAATCGCGTCTCGACGACCACCCAGATCCCGGCTACCAGGTATACTTACGCCCCTAGGTTTGAAAACCGTCCCCTGCAACCGTCGTCCAGGCCCGTGCAGCCATCCACGGCACCACCGCGAAGGCTGGAGACCATCCGTCCCCCACCACCGTCGTCCAGGCCCATCCAGCAGTCCACAGGCGCCACCGCCAACACCGGAACCACCGTCAAATGTTGGAGGTGTGGAGAAACCGGACATTACCGCTCGGCCTGCAGGAAGCCAGCCCGACTGTTCTGCTCCAGGTGCGGCCGAAGCGGTATAATGTCCCGAGAGTGCCCCTGCGACCGAAGAAACGAGCAAGAAGTCTGCGCCATGTCGAAGCCGTCGCAGCACCCGTCCAAGCCGTCGCAGCGGCCATCCCAGCCGACTCCGTCGATGGAAGCTCCGCTCAAGTTTCCCGACAACCGTCCTCATGTCGCCGTCACACTTTTTGGCACCGTCTACGACGCCCTGCTGGACACCGGAGCCGTCAGCACGTTCATTGGCCAGGAAGTTGCCACCGTGCTGCGCCAACGAAACGTTGTCCCCGTGTCAGCCCCCCAGGTTCGGATCCAAATGGCCCATGGCGACATCGTCCCGTCTGCAGGAACCTACAACCTTGAGATGAAGATCGGTGACGTCCCCGTGACAGTCCGCGCCGCCGTTTTTCCAACCCTTACTACAGCTATGGTTTTAGGTATTGACTTCCTGCACGCCAACGCCATAGCCATCGACATTCCCCGAAGAGTGATGCGATGCCACCGTCCAACGTGCTGTTCAACCACCACCGACCCTGCAGTTCCGCTCGCTGTCCAGAGCGCCACCGTTTTGGCTCCCCTCGGCACCCTGTCAACTCCGCGTCAATGCAGAGGAGTCGAGCAGCCTGTCCTGCCCAGCAGCGGATCCCGGCGAAGACCGAGAAGACGTCAGCTTAATCGGCGTGGACCTCGTCTCCACCAGCTGAACACCGTCGACCGAAGTTGAAGTTCCACAAGGCCAGCCCGTCCCCAGCACCGTCACCAAGGAGTCCGGGTCACCGCCCTCTGAACTCGGAACTCACCGTCACCAAGGAGTCCAGGACACTGCCGTCTGAACTCGGAGCTCACCGTCCCCAAGGAGTCCAGGACCCCGCCGTCTGAACCGGAACTCCAGTCCACCAGAGCTGCACAGGAAGGAAAGCCGTCTTCGAAGAGAAAAAAAAAAAAGAAGTTACACTCCTTTTTTTTTGCCGACGAAAGGGGGGAATGTAACGAAGCGAATTTTCGCGGGCAGGAAACCGTGGCGCGTACCGCGAGAGCCGGGGGTAAATTCGCGATCGCCGCGCCGCCGCGGCGGAAGAAGAGGACTCTTACCTGAAACTCCAGAGAGTGCAGAAGTGCTGGGGCTGTTTTCTGGGTGAAGAAGAGTTTTTGGTTTGTGAGAAGTGAAGTAAGAAGTCCGCAGTTGACCCTCCGACCACCGTAAGTACCTTTTTGGGTCGTCTGCCCGTGTTAGTACCGGTTTTGGAATCGCCGCCCCCGAGCGAGAAACCGTGTCACCGTCACCGCATTCTTTTTGTCACCGTCGAAAGTCGACACCGTCGTGTACGCGTCGTTACCGTCACCGCGCTCCCCTCCCGGGTCGCCGTATCGTCTTCGCGCGATTTCCAGGTTCAAGGTCGCCGCCCCCAGAGCCAAGAGGAGCCCGGCCTGAAGGAAGTCGCCGCCCAGGAGGAACGACCGTGCCGGACATTTAATTCTTTTTGTTTGTAAAACCGTTTTGTTAGCTATTTAAGTTATTTAGCCGTAGTTTTATTATCTTAGAACGTGTAGCTGGTGGCAGGGAATAAACCCTATTTTATTGTAAAATATCTCTTGCCGTTTTATTTTATTTATTCTCGAGTTTTCGCGGCGGCTCATCACCTGAATTCCGTGTCTCCGGCTTTAGAGCACCCCGGCGCTCCCTCCCCGCGGAGAGGGAGCTGGCGCCCGAGCGACCGTCGCTCCTGACCGAAGGCGCCACCCCCGGCGGCGTGAAGGTAGCCGCATAAGTTTGGTCGACCAGACGTGTTTCTGACATCAGCGATACTAGTCGACCCAAAGCTTGGCACCCAAGTACGCCGCCACCCCATACGTTATCGGCGAGATTCCGGACCGTCACCGGACCGTCCGTCCGTCCCATCATCATCCGGAATTTCGTCGCAAGTTAAATCAATAGTATTGTCTAACTTAAATTATTGTACTCAAGTCTATGGTCCGTGTCTGTCGGAGTATGACAAAATTAAACTACAAAAAATTCAAAATAGTTGTGTGAGATTTATTATTAACGTACCGAGATTTCAACATATTTCACCATATATAAAACTTTTAAAAGAACTTAAGCTAAATGAACAGCGTTTCTTCCATTACGTAAATTTCATTAAAAAGATTCTAGAAACTCATGTTCCTGAATATCTTTTTGCTAAAATGATTAAAAGAAATGAAATAAATATAAGAGACTTAAGACATGTTGATCAACGACTCGAGATTCCTGTTCACAGAACTGCAAAGTTTCAGTCGTCTTTCTCCTACTTAGCATCACATATTAACAATAATTTTTTGATATATTTAAATGCATCCAGTTCTTGTATCAAAAAGAGAATTAAGTCTGATATTTTAAATGGTCACGACATAATTGTTAATGTTCGTCGATTTTAAGTTTGACTATGTTTGTTAGGTTGTTTTATTTATTTTACTTATTTACGTATTCTAATTGTATATTGTATGTTTAATGTGTGTAGGTATGAGTTAGAATCGTTTTAGTATCAGGGTTAGCCTGTATTCTAACTTTTTGTACGCTGCTCTAGTTGTGCAATAAACTTATTCTTATTCTTATTCTTATTCTAATATGGTTTTGCGTGCTGTACGTTCTAAGGAACGTGGTTTCGCTAATTGTCTATTGTTTGTTAAAACGTACGTAACTGCAATAAATACATTCGCAATTAACACGACGTTTCTTTTATAACTAGAAACCATCATCGCATCATATTTAATTAAGGTTATCTCAGAGTTCACGTTTTTCGTTCGTTATTATTAAGAAGGGATTTCTCGAAATTCATTCCCTAAAGGTGTTAAAAAGGGGTGATAAAATTTGTATAGAACCGATATATCCACTGTAAATTTACATCGTTACGTGAAACCTGGAACATTTTAATTCTCTTCAGTACAAATAAGGAAATACGTATTTAAGCATTTTCGGAGATTCGATCGCTAAGGGGGTGAAAAGTGTTGTCAAAGTTTGGGCGGCTAAGTTTGTATAGGAACAATATTTCTACTGTAAATTGAAATTTTTAGGTGAAACTTGGTATTAATGTTCTCCAACACAAATAATGAAACCCGTCTTTAAGCATTTTCTAAAATTCAACCCCTAAGAGGGTGAAATGTAGAGGCTAAATTTGTATGGGAAAATATTTCTATTGTATATTTAAATTTTTACGTGAAACTTGGTATTAATGCTCTTCGACGCAAATAATGAAACACGTATTTAAACATTTTCCGAGATTCAACCCCTAGGGGGGTGAAAAATGGTGGCTAGGTTTGTGTGGGAATATTTCTATTGTAAATTTAAATTTTTACGTGAAACTTGGCATTAATTATCTCCAACACAAATAATGAAACACGTATTTGAATATTTTCCGAGATTCAACCCCTAAGGGGGTGAAATATGGTGGCTAGGTTTGTGTGGGAATGTTTCTATTGTAAATTTAAATTTTTACGTGAAACTTGGCATTAATTGTCTACAACACAAATAATGAAACACGTATTTAAGCATTTTCGGAAATTCAACCACAAAGGGGGTGAAAAGTATTGGCTAAAATTGTATGGGAAAAATATTTGTAAATTTAAATTTCTACGGGGAACTTGGTATTAATACTCTTTAACACAAATAATGACACACGTATTTCAGGTTGTTTCGAGATTTCACCCCTAAGAAGATGAAAGGGGGTGACAAAGTTTTTATGAGCAAATCTTTTTTATGTCGATTTTTACTGGAAATTGTATTAATGTCCTCCAACACATTTTTTACTTGAAGGTTGATAATAATGCTCTTCAACACAACGAATCGTCTACGCGAGCGAAGCCGCGGGCGAAAAGCGAGTATTATTAATATTATTATATCTATATTTGAATCAATATTGGATCGCAGTCTCGCAGTTTATTAGAAGTGTTGTGTCACAGCACAGTTCTGTTCTGTGGTCTAATCTATTACGCACCGCGCATATTCTGTGGAATGTGGAAATTACCGTGCACGTTAAACAAGAAAACAAGGCGGATACAAGAGAGACAAGACAAGTTACTGTTTTGCTAATTTGTTTTCGTTTTTAGAGAACCAACAAAGCACAGTTCGTTGAGCAATTTTGCGTAGTGAGTGTTTTATTTGTTTTGTTAAAAAGGGTTGCAGCATTTTGTATTCCTAAGCAAATTTGACGAAATGTCTGATAAAGGTGACAGGAGAACGTCTATAAGTTCTAACCTCGACGACCCACCAAATTCAAGACTCTTCATCATCGGTAGTAAAATGTTATCCGAACAAGATTTTCGGGATGCCTTTGAATCATTTGGTCACATAGAGGAAATATGGATGGTCAAGGATAAACAAACTGGAGATAATAAGGGTATGTGTAATGGTTAAAGTTTTTTTTATTAACCCATGTATTAAGTAACATGAATGATATAATACCGTACGAGGGCTGTCGGGCGGAAATTGAGCCTCGTCTAGAAGGCGGGCGTTTAAAAAAAAATTCGGTGAAGTTTTACAAAAGGCACGTCTTGATATCGTATAAGCTGTTTGCACAAAACTCTTGTACAGCACTCTCTGATCACATTCCTCGCCTTCAAATGTTGTGCAAATGCTTACATACTTTTGCCACAAAAAAATTGTTATATGTATTTTCCATTCATGCACTCATTAATGGGAGCTGTTGAGAACATAACCTAACTTTTTATAGTCACCAACACCAACATGCGTGGGTGTAATGTCGAGTTTTTAGTGCGGCAGGGCGCATCGTACCCTGCACCCCATTACGAACATACTCCTAAACGAGGAACTTCTTGCTCCGTGGATCATTTAGTTATTGAAATTCGTGCGAGTTAAATTGCGTGTGTAGTTGGTTACCTACATTTAGTGCAACTAAGAGGGTGCGAATGTGGTGCGAACCATAGGGCGATCACTAAATAGTAAATACTTTAATTTTCCACTCGTATATAATGTTTGTTTTATATCCATGATTTGATGAACGTAAAGCGGCCTGTTATACCTGGGGCACAATGAGCGGGCATAAAGATTTATTATGCCCTCTCATTATATCCTATTTTGCTAAACCGAATTAAACAAAAATTTAAAAAATTATCTTTATTTAACTACATATTATTATTTTGTGACGATTTATTTAATTATGGAAATAGAAATTCCAGTTCACAAACTTGCTATTCATACCAAACTTTTAAGGTAAACTTAAACCCTTCGCGGGTTTTTCTATTGGAATTATTTTTGTCCCTGCTTCCATTCTGCTGGCACCTAATAAAGTATTATAGAAAATCCAGTATTATGTGAATTTGCTTCACTCACCTCTTTGTTATATGCATAACTTTTCTCGGTTATTTTTGTCTTCTGCTTTGGAAGAAGTCTGAGATTTTGTTGTCACAGAGCTGGCAATTAAATTAGCTGTTTTATTTGTTGATGCCATACTTTCTGCAATATAACCTTCTGCGACTGTAGTACTTTTCAATTTCTCGTGTAATTTTAAGGTTTCAGATGAAATGACCCGTGTATTCTTTAGTATTTTCTAAATTCAAAACTTTGCAATATTCATTGGTACACTACCTAACGTGTTTTTGCCGACTGGTTGTCTGGTGCACTGATTGTTACGAAATGTTAAGAAAAATCTTCTCGTTGATATTGACTTTGGTCTTAGTACAGCATATTTTCGAACTATTTCTAAAGCGCCAATTTCTTTTTCTTCAACAATAGTAAAATTTTTACCTTCACCAGTTTTTGTTTTCTTAATTTTTCCAATAATATCTTTATCTTTATCTTCAATGTCGTCTACAGTGAGCTTAACCTGCAAAGGGACCCATCATAACAACTACCTTAAATGTATAAAAGATTCTTATTTAAATACTTACAATCATCAAAAAATAACTTTACTTAGTTTACCTTATGAAGTAAATATTTGTCGTCGGGAGCATCCTTCAAAAATTCCATGACTTGTTCGCCAGTCAAAACTCCAGATTTTTTTTTGCCACATAACATTTTGAGTTTTTTTTAAGATGTCAAACGATGATAATTAGAAATGTCTATGTTGTGGTTTACTCTTAAAGTTGCCTTGACCATCGAGAGTATTTTGACCATAAGGAACTGGGTGAATATTTTTCTGACTCAAAATGAAGAACACAGTTAAATAATTATTTTATAAACTGAATAACTCATTCATTCTTGAAAGTAAGCCATCATAGCTGTCTCGTTGGTAAGATTTACTGAATCTTACAATTAAGGAAAATTTTGTATTTTTTTTTTTCGTATATGGATCTTATTGTGCCAGGTAACAAATTTTCATTGGCTTTTTGCGCTTTCTTCAAAATGTGTTCTGGAATTTCACAATTTTCCTCGTTCATTTCCGCGGTCGAAAACATACGTTTTGACACCGTGAATAGTCGCCGTGTTTGCAATAAACAATCATAAATATAAACTCCTTGACAAAAAAATCAACGCCACATAAATTTCTATTTACGAACTAGATGAAGTGAACTTCGTTTCACCTACAATGTATTTGATTATAACTTTTGATCAGCAATTATCAACCCTAATCAACCTTCCTGGTATCCGATCCAACGCAGCTTTGAACATTTTGATTAATTCGTTGTTCTGATGAAGAAAGTTTTGTAATTTTTACTTCCCGAGCGTAAACGAAGGAAGTATTGTAATCGAGCCCGTCGGCTGACTCTCCTCAACTTTTAGGTTTTCTCGACCTTTAATGACCCTCAAGAGTACGAAGAAATAGGTCTCCCGTTTTCATCTCTGTGTGTCTGTCCATCTGCCTGTCCTTCTGTCTGTTATGTCATGTAGATAGTAAAACGCTAACCAAAATTTGGCTAATCATCCCCACCAATAATGTGATGCATTCACTTCAAAATTGCACATAGTAAATGGGTTTTAAATTATTTAAAATAATATAGTCCTATACATGTAGTTTATGACTCCGTTTGAGTACGACTAGAGAGTGTAATACGTTTGGATTTATTTACAGAAACTGTTTTGAGTTCTCAAACGTTCAATCGCTGCTTACGGTGTATTACTCATCGTTCTAGACTTGAGTATGCCGCTGTTAGTTTCCCATATATTTTACTTACATTCAACATTGGAGTTAGTTCAACGCAAGTTCCTCAAATTTGTAATATTTCTAGTTGATGGGACTTGCCCTCTTTGCGGATATAATCATGGTGCTTTACTAAGCAGATTTAGCGGCAATTTACTTAGTACTAGACGGGTAATTTTTAGTGTTAAACTTCTCCACAGCTTAATTAATAGTAAAACTGACTGTATTTATCTGCTCGATAAAATTGTATTCTTAGTTCCTCGATTAAATGTTCGAAGTTGCCCTACTTTTTATTACAATACTATCAGAACAAATGTTATGATCAGATCGCCACTTGGTTTAATGTGTAGTAATTTTAACTTAATTAGTGATTTAAGTGACATTAATAATGACCCTTTTAGTTACATAGTAAACACATTAATTTCTTATTTAGAGAATTAGGGAGTATTGTTTTATTTATATTCTAGCCTTTTTATTATGAATTTAGTATTGTATTTTTTTTTTGCTATTTTTTCCTCGTTCTTATTGCTACTGTTTGTACCATTATGCCCACATTGTTTTTCTTTTATTTTTGTTTTCTGTAATTGGGTGCTTACCCGTTGGAAATAAACATTGTTATTATTATCATTCTTATTATTCTTGTACTATGAGGTAGTACATTTTAATTTGTGGTGAAAAATCTACAGTGGGACGTTATTTTCGATCCAATCGCTATATATTTTCTAAGGGGGAGATTCTGGAAACTCCGATAATTTGCAAATCGCTATCGAAACTGCAAATACAATGCAACAACAATACATGTTGCCATGGTTTTGAATTTGCAGATCCTTGCAAGGCCTTATCGAGTTTCGAGAATCTCCCCCTGAGTATTTAAAGTAAATTGTTTTTCCTGACAATATGACAAACGATTTATCTTTCTTAGTTTTTATATCGACGAGCTTGACAAAAATAGTTATTTATGCAACTAGTGAGTAAAGTGTATCATTACACTTTACTCACGAGTCGCATACAAAATTTTTTTCGCGTTCGTAACAAAACTCAACACCCACCAATTTCAAAAATTTTTTATTTTAGAACATAGATATTAAATGTAGCCGTATTTGCCGTCTTGACAATTTTGATTCCATTGTCCGAGCACACCAATTACCACAACACACCGAGAATAGTTATTTATGCAACTAGTGAGTAAAGTGTATCCTTTTTTTACGAGAAGGAAAATTTGCCGCACGAGCCAAAGGTGACTGCGCAAATCCGCCGAGTAAAAAAAAGCCACTTTACTCACGAGTCGCATACAAAATTTTTTTCGCGTTTGTAATAAAGCTCAACACCCACCAACTTCAAAAACTCTTTATTTTGGAACATAGATATTAAATGTAGCCGTATTTGCCGTCTTGACAATTTTTTCGGGGGTGTACGGGAAATCTTCATTGCTGTCCAATTCTATTGTCCGAGCCCACATATTACCATAACACACCGAGAAAATTAATACAAACCACTTGTGTTGATGAATTATCCTAGCAACGGCAGGCTTCTATGTTTTATTCCGTTAAAAAATGACATGCAACGACACTTTTTACTTCCCGAGCGTAAGCAAAGGAAGTATTGTAATCGAGTCCGTCGGCCGACTCTCTACTTTTACGTTTTCTCGATCTTTCATGACCCCTAGAAGACGAAGAAATAGGTTTCCCATTTCCGTCTGTCTATCCGTCCGTCTGTCCGTCCGTCTGTCCGTCCGTCTGTCCGTCCGTCTGTCCGTCCGTCTGTCCGTCCGTCTGTCCGTCTGCCGTCCCGGATTTTTATTAGACAGATAATCTCCGAAAGTACTCGACCGATTGTTATGAAATTTGGTACTTATATTAAGAATATCATGTAGATGGTAAAACGCTAACCAAAATTTGTCTAATCATCCCCACCACTAATGCGATGACGTCACTTCAAAATTGTACATAGTAAATGGGTTTTCAATTGTATAAAATAACATAGTCCTACACATGTAGTTTACAACTCCGAATCGACTTTTCACCCGAAACGTCCAGATTTTTGGAAAAAAAATCAAAATTATAAAACAACATTTTGAAATTTAATTTTAATCTGCTAACCAGAATGCTTTGAAATGTTGCAGATGTTTTAAGGCTATAAAGAGCAACATAAATCTTTAGTCAAAAAATATTTGCTTATCCCCTCCAAAAACTTGATGACGTCAACTCAAAAGTTTGTGGAATAAATCATATCTAAAATGTACAAAATATGATGAGTCTGTACTTGTGATCTATCACTCCATTCATATTTTTTGGATTTGC